GTAGGCTACGTGAAGTGTTGTACCAAATGAAACACTTTTAATACAGCCGGTAGATGGATATTGATTAAATGGTTGAGCTTCTTGAGCAATTTGAAACATATTTTTTGTACGAGCTGATGAAAGTTGAATACTTGTTTGTGTAGTTGTACTACTTGGTGTTGTTGACATAAGTAGATGAGCACCATGAGGTGTTACTTTCCAACTGCAACGTCCATTAGGTTGTACGTTAATTACATAACCAGCAGTATTTGTAGAACCAGAATTAGTAATTACAATATTATTTTCATTGCTTGATGAGACAAATGTAAAGAATATTGCAAGAATGATAAACGAAATGGTAGCCATAGTTAAGCAAAAATAATGAAGCAATTGATATCTGGATATCAAGCGCTTTTAAATGATAAAGTCGTGAGAAAATTATACAGGTGGTAAAAACAGAATAGTACTTTGCACTCTTCGAAAATAACGTAAATTATAAAAATATAATAAATATCCAAATATTTATAGTAGGTAGAAAATTTATTCATTCACCTGTGCTTTTTCGTATTTTATTTTCTTCCAATCACGAAACGAAACAAATATTCGAGTGTGATACTATTTATACCTATAACCTAAACGTACAAACCTTGATCTATGACTCCCTTTTTAGCTTGTTCAATTTGATGAAACAAAAAACGCAAGATGAACGAATAATTCTTACGATACTCAAGACGCATGAGTACGATCGGACAAAATTCTTTCTGCTCTATGTATACAAAATCTAGTGGCGGATTTAGAGAGGGGCGATCGCCCGCCCCCTTCCGAATTTTTTTTGATTTATCACAGCAAAAATGAACGAAAAAACAGCTTCACACTACTTCGATTGGACTCAAAAATAGCTTTTAGTCAAAATCGCTCCTCCATACTCAAAAAAAAATCGCCCCCCCCCCCCTTCCAAAAGCCTAGATCCGTCACTGACAAAATCATCATCTATTATCTTATTTCATAATAAATCGTCTACAAAAATTTAGTACAAAATATAATTCTTCATATTTTTGTTATATAGCGACATCTTAAGAAAACTAATAAATGATTAGTTAATTCTAAAATCCGTTATCGATTGATTGATTGTTTATTTTTTTTTCGTTTATGTTTTCTTTTGGTTTGGACTCTTAATTTTATAGAAATCGTTAAATTATTTTCGATTAAAAATTTTTTTATTATGGGTCGCGTTTTTCTTGAACATCTTGGTGGTCAACGTATATTTTCTTGTGCACATTGTGAAACACCATTAACAAATCGTAATGAATTAGTTTCAACACGATTTACAGGTGCAACTGGTCGAGCATTTTTATTTAGCCGTGTTGTTAATACAAAACAAAGTCCTGTACAAGAACGAGTAAATAAAAATTATTTTATCGATTCGAATAAATGAATTCATTCTTTTAGATGATGTTAACAGGTCGTCATTTTGTTCGAGATATAAGCTGTAAAAAATGTGATACTAAACTTGGTTGGATGTATGAATTTGCAACAGAAGAAACTCAACGTTATAAAGAAGGACGAGTTATACTTGAACGTGCTTTAATTAATGAAAGTGATGGATTTTAAATGACTTTTGTATATAATACTATCGTTTTCTTGTTAATATTTATGTATATATGTATATTATGATGTTTTTTACATTTGAGAAAAATAAAAAGAAAAGATTTCGAAGATATTTTAGATAAGATTTGACAATAAGACCATGTAATGGTGATCATAAAAGATAAATTAAAGATTAAAATTGTTGAAAATAATAATGAAGTAAGATTGTTTAATTCTTTTTGATATTTTTATATTAGATAAATTTATATTTTAAGGCACTTCCAATATATATTAATGATATTGGAGAAAATTTAAAATCGGATGAAGATATTGCTTTAATTCGTTTTGATACATATGCTGATTTTCTTGTACCAAAAAATGTTCAAGCTGATGAAATTGAAACCTTAGATCATCTTATTCCGTATGTGATAGTCAAAATAAAAACTTATGAAACTATTGTTTATGTTTTTAGTGCAATTGATAATCAATGTTGGATACTTCCAGCTGTTTATCGAGGATTGATAAAGAAAATTTTTTGGTTTAAACCACCTTGGGCTCATCAATTTCAAGATGGTCTATATCAATTACAAATAGGAAAATGTCAACAAACTGGTGTATTAAAGTATGCTCAAATAAAAGATTCTAATAGATTTTGTATAACTTTTTTCAGAGTTGCTTCAACAATTCCATATTTTACTTCCAATTGTGTTTATTCATCTATTGATAAACTTTCTAATATTCAAACTGTTGATCTTTATGTCTCGACAAGTGGTTTAGCTAAAAATTATGCAACAACAATTGAAAAAGCTGCTGATGAAACTATTTATAATAATGATAGTGGAAGTGAAAGTTTAGATAGTGATAATCGAAAGAAACCAAAATTATCAATAAATGATACAAATCATAAAGATTCCCAATCGACAACAAAACGTGTTCATTCACTTGATGCAACATTAATCAATGAATTACTTGAGAATAAACAATTTCTAATGGATATTGATTTATCATTTTTTTCTACTGATGATTCAATACGTAAACAATTTGATGAAAATGAATATGAAATACTTCGTTATGTTTATACACGTATTGTACAAGAACAAGCTGATCCTGAAATTGTACAATATATAACAGCACGTGAAAGTGCCTTAGAACAAATACGTACATTAATGAATGAATATTTAACTGATCCAAAACCAGATCAACCAATACTTGTTGATAATATTTATTTATCTGCATTAATTTCTGTAATTCGTCATAAAAAACTTGATTGGAAATTAATTCATAGCTATGGTATGCATCTAGCAGATACAAGACCACCATTACATGTTTCATCAGAAGGAATGATTATTTATTTACTTGAATCAATGACTAAAATTTTAGAATCAATTAAACCACATCCTGTTCTTATTACAATTTCAAGGTATTATTCTCGCAGAGAAGAGTCCAGTAAACATAAATTGTCTGATTGCATGCGTGTATGTCCGCAGGGTCAAAAAAACATTTCTAGAGGTATTTCGAATCTGAGATCTGTTGGGTGATCATGATGAAGGAGGAGAGTGCATAGGTCAGAATACATTGAAAACCAGTTTATCCAGTAAATGTGAAAAGGATACATTTCTATGAGAAAGAGCTAAGCGAGTTCTCAGACGAGCGTTACTTGTATTAATAGATGATTTCTTTTTTATATAATGATGATTTTTGTTTAGATGTGTTGAAGATGGACATTGTTCAGAAGAACAAGCTGATTTAATACAATTACATGTTGAAAAAAAACTTCAAAAACTTTATAAAATCGAAGAAACTATTGGAAAAAGTTTATCAAAATCACTCACAAATGATGAAAATATTGAAGATGAAATCAATGATGACGATAATTCAGGTGAAAAATCTTTAACGATAAATAATGATGAATCGAAAAATGAATTAAATATTGATACAACAACAACAACAACAGAAACAACGGAAAATAAAGCAGATTCTACTGAAATAACAACTGAATCATCAAAATCTGATACGAATTTAAATAATCAAGCATCACCTTCACCACCACGATCGAATTTATCACCAGGTGAAATTAAAGCAGTATCACCATCATCACTCTCCGAAGCATCTCCTATATCAAATTAACTGTGTCTTGTTTTTTTTTTTTCTTTTTGTATTTGATCTCTCTGAAAGATTATGTTAGTGTTGTTTTTTTTATTATTATTATTCATAATGATCATTAAAAATGAAAGGGAAAAGAAAAATTTCGAGCCTAACTAACTGTGTATACGTGTGTATTATCTGTCTTCCAAAAAAAAAAA